TGGGAGGGAGGAGAATAGGGGAACCCATGGCTGATATGTAGAACTGAATGGTATTGTAAAATAAAAAATATATATATAAAAAAATAAATTAATTAATTAATTTAAAAAAAATCTGTATATTAGTCAGGTAGTTGTGGCACACGCCTTTAATCCCAGCACTCTCGGCAGAGGCAGGGGGATTTCTGTGAGTTTAAGGCCAGCCTGGTATATAGAGCTAGTCCTAGGAAAGCTAGAGTTACACAGAGAAACCCTGCCTTGAAACACACACACACACACACAAAAACAAAAAAAAAACAACCCAAAAAAACAACAAAAAAAAACCCCTGTCTATTGGGGGTCAGCAAGATGGCTCAGTGGGTGAAGGTGCCTGCCATGCCTGGTGGCCTGAGTCCAGTCTCCAGGACTCACGTGATGGAAGAAAACCAACTATGGCATATGCATGTCCCCCACCCTCTGCAATGCACACAGAAAATAAATAATTTCTTTTAATAAAAATCAGTGTATTTATCCAGGTGATGGTGGCACATGCCTTTAATCCCAGCACTCGGGAGGCAGAGCCAGGCGGATCTCTGTGAGTTTGAGGTCAACCTGGTCTACGAGATCCAGGACAGCCAGAGCTGCACAGAGAAACCCTGTCTTGAAAACAAACAAGCTCAATAAAAAGAAACAGTGCCCCTGCTGCCTCCAGATACAAGGACAGACAGGAGTGGTGGAGAGGGGCTGTCATCCCGCACTCGGGACGTTAAAGAGGAGGAACGATGGAGTTAGAGGCCAACCTGGGCTACCAAGAAAGAGTCTGTTCCAAAAACAAACTAACTGCCTCAAAGAAAATGAAGCCCTCCCGGACTTACCGTCTTTGAGACAAAGTCATGGAGGCGCATGCCTCCGTTATTCTGAGGGGTCCCCAAATTGTCTGTCTCGGTTCTTGGCTCCACTGGCCTGCTGTTCAGAGCGGAGTCACTGTTCACAGGCTGTAAAGGACCTAGAAAACAATCAAATTTAAATTTCTGTCCTAAAAATCCACCCTTCTGGATTTTAATTTTACTTTTCCCTTTTTAACTTTGCTTTTACTATAACTAGTAGTAGTGAACACACACACACACAGTTTCCAGGAAAAGCTCCAATTCTCCACTAGTGGTACACGCAGACTGACTGGCCACCCAGAAGTAAAGGACGGTGCAAACACACCAGGACAGCAGCAAGCAGCTAGTAAGAATCTCCCCACTACGGCTCAGCCTTGTCTCAAGAGGCTTCTAAGACACCCACTCTCAATTTCAACCAGTGTTTTCATTTATTTATATTTGTTTTTGGTAGCCAAGGCTGAGCCAACTCCAGCCCCTCTTTCCTTCTTTTTAATTTTCCCTTTTTTTTTTAGGTTTTATTAGTTATGTGTGTGAGTGTCTGCCTGAATGGATCTGTGTACCACATTGTACTACGTTGTGTAGAGCCCAATGAGGCCAGGAAGGGATGTCAGATTCCCTGGGTCTGGAGTCACAGATGGTGTGAGCCACCATGTGGGTGCTGGGAACCAAACGTGCATCCTCTGCAGGAGCAGCTAGTGCTAAGCCATCTCACCAGCCCCCCTTCTGTTTTTTGGTCTCACCAGGTATCCACGGGCTGACCTTGAACTCACTATGAAGACTAGGCTGCCCTTCACTATGAAGACTAGATTGATTCCAATCTACCTATGCTTCCAAGTGCTCAGATTATAGCTGTGTGCCTCCACAGCCAGCTCTGCAGAGACACTGATGACATTTAGCCATAAATCCATCAGACCTGATTTCCCCCGACTCCTGGTCCAAGATGGCAATGTCTCAATAGTAGACACAGCTTCAATGGGTCCGCCATCACTTGGAACAGTCACGGTAGTTTTTGCAACTATTGATTCATTTGCCTGAAACAGAGCCATAAGGAAAGACAGACAGACAAACTTTGTTTCTAGACAGGTGTTTTCCAGTAGCTAAAAATTCCCAAATCCAGAGTTAAGACTTATATTCTGGTCCTAAGCCTTTAAGTCGAAATCTCATACACTGCAGGGTGATACATACAGTGAAATACAATCAAACCTATAGCTGATAGTTCTGATTTTTTTTTCTTGTTTGTTTTGGGATAGGATCTCTCTATGTAGCCCTGGCTGTTCTGGAACTATGTTAGACCAGGCTGGCCCCAGCTTCACTGCCTCCAGAGCGCTAAGATTAAAGGTGTGCGCCACTGATAGTTCTTAATCAACACCCACTCACATGGACAATAGAGGATCTTACTACATAGAAAACACTCAAACTTCTCTCAAAATAACACTGCAGTAATACTGACTGTCACTGTGCTGTGCAGGGCCACTAACCCCTGGTGTGTTTAGGACCCCAGTTCTCTGGCTGACTCCTCTTACCTGGTCTACTGTGGAGCCAATGGAACAGGTTTTTTTTATAGGCCCGGGAGGGCCGTCGATGAACTGTCGGCTGCTGGAGCGCTACAGAGGGAGTAAAGACCAAAGCTTTAATGTGTCACGGAGAACTGAACCCAGAGAACACAATAATCCTATCAGCAACGACATGCACGTCCTAAGAAGCAGGGCTACATAAATAATGTGCTCTTTCTTGTGGCCTATTTGTTAAACAAACACAAAAATGCTTTCAGTGCTATAGAAAAGAGACGAGCTCTGGAGACAGCATCAGAAAAGAAGAACCATAATCCTATCTAAGGACATGAAGTCTTTGGAAACACATCAAATACCCTAAGCACGTCAGCCCAGATAGAGCTCCACATCCTATTCTACACACACTGCATCTGGAGCTTGTATTAGAGTACAAAAGTCCTGCGTGAAAATTCACATGACAACTCAAAACAAACTCAAATATATTCTTTCCTACGATATGGAGATGTAGCCCAGGCCCATGAACTAAAGTAGAATCCTGCCCTCAGTCACTGCTTCAAGTGACATCACCGTGGCCCCTGGAGGACTGGAGAGATGCTCAGTAGGGAAAGGTGCTCACTGTGTTAAGACTGACGGTCTCATCAATTCCCAGACCTACAGTGGCTGGGAAAGAACCAGTTCTTATGCACTGAGGTATGCATGTGCCTGTCCTCACGTGGCCCTCTCTCTCTCTCTCTCTCTCTCTCTCTCTCTCTCTCTCTCTCTCTCTCACACACACACACACACACACACACACACACACACACAGTAATAAATACCATTTTAAATCAAGAAGGCACTGCCCCAGTAGCACTAATCCATTTGTGTTCTGTGCTCGTTTGTTTTGAAACAGGGTCTCTCTATGTAGCCCTGGCTGTCCTGAAACTTGCTCCGTAGACCAGGTTAGGCTCCAGTCACAGAGATCCACCTGACCCTGCCTCCCAAGTGCTGGGATTAAAAGTGTGCACCACCACAGCTACATTTTGTGTTTTTTGTTTAACGATGTCTAGAGATGTGTCAGAAATATAGTTTTGTATCCAAATTTCCCAAAAAGAAAAACTATTACTAATGGGACTTTTTGTTTGTTTGGTTTTTCTCTTAAAATTTTTTTTTTTTATATTATGTGTATGAGTAGCCTGCATGTATATATGAACACCGCATGTATGACTGATGCCCAAGGAGGCTATAAGAGGCATTGGATCCCCTGAAACTAGAGTGACATACATTTGTGAGTCACCACCTGGGAATATCATCCAGGTCATCTACATAAGCAGCAAGCGCTCTTAACAGCAAGTCCTCCAGCCCCGCTTTTGTTTTGTTTGTTTGTTTGTTTGTTTGTTTGAAATAGGATATTACAATGTAGTTCAACCTGGTCTCAAACTTGATAAAAAGACCAGGATGGCCTCAAATTCATGATCTTCCTAACTCAACCTCCTTAGTGTTAGGATCACAACTGTGGGACAAGATGCCAGGAAAGAAAAAAATTGTTTTGGTTTTTGGAGATAGGGTTTCTCTGTGTAGCCCTGGTTGTCCTGGAACTCACTCTGTAGACCAGGTTGGCCTTGAACTCAGAGATCCGCCTACCTCTGCCTCCCAAGTACTGGGACTAAAAGGCATGCGCCACCACGCCTAGGGAGAACTCTTATTTTATAAATGGTAAAACATCTGAGCCTAATGGCCTAAGTTTATAATCCCAACCACTGGGAAGGTTGAGGCAGAAGGATCACAAATTTAAGGCTTTCCTACACAGCAAGTTAAGGACATCCTGGGTGACAAGTGACCAGTGAGAGAGCATTTGCCAAGTGTGCATGGGACTGTGGGTTCAAGCACCACCCAGGGAGGAGCAAGGAGAACATATACATACCCTCTTTTCTCGTTTCTTCATTTTGAAATTCTTCACCAAAGAAGAATCCCAGTCCTGTTGACAATTAGACCATGTTAATCTCTCTCTTTGGTTAGGTTGATCATAAATCCTGTGCAAATAAATTTACAGCAAACAAGTCAGACTACCTAACTTAAAACCCCAGGAGAGAGAAATTAAAACAGTCTTCGGAGTTTGCTCCAAAGCTCCAGTTAGCAGGCTTCCTTCAAATATTGAAGCAACAGTGATAGAATCAGGAACCAATGCCACAGAGACAGGGAAAGGTTAGAGAATCAACCGCTGTCGTGATTATTTCAGGTGCCTGGTCCTTTATTCCTGATTATTTTTCTAATTAGTTTTTAGAACTTAGAGAATTTAAGACATTGTACAGACCATGTCAGATGTAACTCGTGCCCTAAGTGACTGCTACAGTCTAGTAGGATATTCCATCCAACAGTCCCACTTAAGAAGTTAGTTCACAGTTTTTAACCCTCAATATCTCTTTCTTGATCCTAAAAGCTAGTTTACCTTTGAATTCTATGCCTTTTACTACAGACTAGTTTCACTTCCGTTATTGTAATCACTGGCATTCATTTTCCTATCTACCTGTGCTTCCCTTACTTCTGGTTACCCTACAAACACAGTACCTAGAAACAGCATATACAACAAACAGGAGGGCAACATGAACTGAACTTCCCCAACTCATGTTCAAATAATTTAGCTGCTGTTGATCAGCCCCAACTATAACAGCTATCACGGTAGAGGTTTTCCTCAAAACTCACCTGATAGGTTTGATTATATACCGCAGACCTACTCTATGTAATTCTTTATTTCAAAGGTGGCTTCCTAATACTTATATCCTTAAAATGGTCATTTGCTTCTCTGGTTAAACACTGACCCTGAGCGAAGACTCCTGGGACTGTACTAAGTACCTGCTACCTGCTTTGCCATCAAAAACAAACACTAACAACGTCCTGTGCTCTGGTTTGTTTGCTGGTTTCAGACTCCCACAGAAATGATGAACTGCCAGCCGACTACCAGTCTCCTGAGCATTAAAGACTACACTACCAGTAGTATATGAAACAACATTACCATTTATACAGAAATTTCACAGTCCTGCTATCGACAAAAGCAAGGTAACAAGTTAGACATGGCAACCATTGTTTAATCAAAGAATAACACACTGCCCAGAAATTTAAATTCCCATCCTTCTGGCTCAAGTCCTTCTATGAAGGATGGCTAAGCTTCCCTCAAGAAGCACACTAATTGGGAAATAAAGTACAAATCTACTCACTGTAGCAGCAGCAGCAGTAGCAGCAGCAAATAAACCTAACCTGGGTCTACACAGCAAGCTCCAGGACAGCTTACAACTACATAGTGAGATCCTATCTCAAAAATTAAAAATAGAACACCCTGCCTGGTCAATCTTGCTGATTTTTACCCCTAGCTAGGGCTTTAACAAGTTAAGACATAATCTATTACTAGAGGTACCTCACAGAGACCCTTCAGATAAACTGGACTTCACAGCAAATCCTGAATTTTACATTCTCACTTCCAGAAAATAAATATTTAAGTCAGTATCTTATAGCTTGGGTGGATTTATATTTTAAATTGCTAGCTCAGAATCTGTAACAAATCAACAATGAAAGAGTCATAAAGGATGGCCAAGGACAGGAGCAGAGACGCTCCTACAGGGCAGGTTAACAAAAGCAGATAACTCCAGAGATCAAATGTTTATTACCAGTGATTCATCAGTCTTGTCAAAGCTGATATCTGATAAAATGGAACCAGATTCATCAATGGTTGACAGTCTGGATTAAAAACAATAACACAATGTTAGACACAGAACATCATAAAACAGAAAAGCCACCAGTCCCCTGAAAAGTCCCACTGGTCAGATAACATGAGCAAGTTCACAGACACGCACAAGCTGCAGTCCTCGCTGCAGGGAGCTGCTCTCCATGGTTTCCACAGAGTGCTGTGCGTGCAGAACAGCACAGTGTCGTCAGCAGCAAGTGAGGATCCCAGCCAGGGCTATGGGGGCTTTTCTTGCTGTACTACAAGGAAGCAGACTGAGGTTCGATTCGATTCCTATCAAGTCTGACACTTCCTACAGTATTACCCAGCACTGGACTTTAGGTTTGATATTTTTGTCTGAGACTAGACTAGCCTCTAGACTAGGCTGTCCATGAACTTCCTATGGAACTGGAGATGATCGTCAACTTCTGACTCTCCTGCCCCCACATCCCAAACACTGGGATTACAGATGTGTACCCCCAAGCCCAGTTTACAAAGTGCTGGGAACCGAAGCACACTAGGCAAGTTCTCTATTACCTGAGCTACATCCCCAGGCCCCAGCACTGACTTTTTAAGACATTAAGCCTAACTTGAATATAGTAGTCCATGCAGATAACGTAGCACTTGAGAGGCACAAGCTCAGGAGTTCAAGGCCAGCCTGGGATATGAAAGACCCTACCTCAAAAAATAGGAGGGGCTGGGGGGACTGTGAGAAATGATAGCTCAGTGATTAAGAGCTCACACTACCTACAACATGCAGCTCTCATTCCAGGGGATCCACTATCCTCTTCTGGTTTACATGGGTATCCCTGCACACATGGCTTATCCTCACACACACATACTCATATTTTTTTTAATCTTTATAAAAAAAGAAAAAGAAAGAAAGAAAGAAAAGAAATCAAGTTCACATATCTTCTTAGTTCTAAAGATCCCACCTGAGCTGGGCATAGTGGCATGACAGCTTTAACCCCAGCACCCAGGAGGCTAAAGTAGAGCTCTATGAATTCAAGGGCAGCCTGAAATAAACAGGAAATTCAGGCCAGCCAGGGCTACACCCTAAATAAGACCCTATCTCACCAAACCAAACAAGAGTCCCCATGGACCAATCAGCCAACAAAACAAACAACCCTAAGAGTGTAAGCCTCTTCCTACTTACTGTACCGGGTGGGAGCATTTCACTCAAAGCCTGGCTGAGACTATCTTAGCGACACTATGGACCCCAAGTGATTGTCTGGCCTTAGCCCCCAGCAGCTGCAGAGCTCTCTGGAGAATAAACACTGTGAGCACTGCTGAAACGCCACTTTCACCTCTGCTGTCTCCGCAATGGACAGGATTAGTTATTGATGTGTAATTTAACACCAACACCAAAACTGTACCCATGGTGAAACAGCAGCCTGAGGAAAGCTTAAAAATAATGAAAGCGAGCGGGCGGGGGCAGGCCTGCACCCTCCCTCCCCCGCCCACCCCGAGGCGCTTCTGCTTGGCTCAGCACACACTCCAGAAGCAGTACATTTAAGAGGTCAGATAATGGGACTTGTGACAGCCGGGCTGCTGTGATCAGGTGACAACAGATGCGGTCCCCCACCTATTGTTCCCAGGGTTGCCACTGGATGCTTGGCCTCGGTTGAGAAAAGCTAGAGCTGATTTTTGTTCCTCGCTTAGCTGGATGCTGCCAGATGTGTCACACATGAGTATGTCTCGAATCAGCTGAATCTGTTGTTCCTACAGACCAAAGCAGAGGAAACATCGTAACTAGCCAGGGAAGGAAGCTTCACCTCAAATTTATGGGCTAGACAGAAGACATTAAAATACAACATTATGCAAATGTGCCTTCAGGAAGGCCTTACAGCAAGAGAATATTAATTCACATCAAGCTCAGGCTGTGGCTGGTTTCTGATGAGTAAAATCAACTCCATATAGAATGGGGGTCTGCTATGAGATTTTCAGATCTTACTGCTAATCCAAGAGGAGAGTGGTATAGAACAAGAGTTCCAGAACAGAGTCCACACAGCAGAAATACTTCAAGGATTATTTTATCCGAACAGTTACTGGCTTCTTTTATGGATCAAAGCAGTCACATGTTTTTCAAATGATGAAACAAAATACATAAAATAAATACAAAGCTGTAATGCAGACAATTTGGGCTTACCGAGGCATCTAACACTGAATTAAGATGGATTAGTCCCCTCAAGTAAAGCTCTCCTTTGCGCCAAGACGCATCTTGTCACATCAAAATAACATATATACCAGTCACACTGTTCAACTCACTAAATACATCTAGCCCTTTACCAGGAGCTAGAAAGAAGTGATGAAGCATTAGCATTGCTTTGGCTGTATCGATGACAGCAGGCCAGTGCCACCAACTCAAAAAAGGAGAGCAATATTCTTGGTATTTAGAATAAACAATATAGCCGGGCGGTGGTGGCACACGCCTTTAATCCCAGCACTTGGGAGGTAGAGCCAGGCAGAACTCTGTGAGTTCGAGGCCAGCCTGGGCTACCAAGTGAGTTCCAGGAAAGGCGCAAAACTACACAGAGAAACCCTGTCTCAGAAAAAAAAAAAAAAAAAAAAATAGAATAAACAATATAGCCTGCACATGGTGGCATACACCTCTAAACCCAGTATTCAGGGAGCAGAGGCAGGAGGATCATGCTTGAATTTCAGGCCATCAGGGATTATGCAGCAGAATCCTGTCTTAAAAGATACCCACCCACCCCTGCAGAATAGCAAATAAATTATGATACATAACTATTCTAGAATTTCATTATTATTCTCCCTCACTTTAATTCTTTTTTTTTTTTTCCAGAGCTGAGGACTGAACCCAGGGCCTTGCACTTGCTAGGCAAGCGCTCTACCACTGAGCTAAATCCCCAACCCCACTTTAATTCTTATAAAAAAAAAATAAAAAAAAAAATTTGGACTGCTGGAACCCAGAACCTTGTGCGTGCCAGGCAAGAATTTACCAACCGCACTACATCCTTGTCCATTTTGTTTTAACTCTCATTTGAAATCTGTCTAGTGAAAACCAGTTTCAAGTCTAAAGGAAAAAATAAGTATTAATTTCAAACTTAAAAAAAACAGAGGCCAGGGGCTGGAGAGATGGCTCAAAGGTTAAAAGCACTGGCTGTTCTTCCAGGAGATCTGGGTTCAATTCCCAGCACCCACATGGCAGCTCACAACTGTCTGTAACTCCATCTCCAGTGGATCTGACACTCACACAGACATACCTGCTGACAAAATACAAATGCACCTAAAATAAAAATAAATGATTCATTAAAAAAAAAAAGAAAGAAAGAAAGAACACACACACACACACACACACACACACACACACACACAAAAAAAACCCAAAAAATTTTAAAAAATTAAAAAAAAACCAGAGGCCACAGGCTACAGTTTCATCTCTAATCACAGGCAAGATGCCAAACAATTTTCAGTTGTTTACATAAGGGGGAACTGGGTATATCTGGTAAATAAAAACATTATCAACACTGTCTTCCCAGGCCATCACCAGTCTAATACGCAAAGCAATACACACCAGCTTTGCACATTCAGCCTCAGCACGCTGTCTCCGCTTGATCTCTACATCTACTTGGTTACGAGCATGCTTCAGCTTGACGTCCAGAGCGCTACGCCCAGTCTCTGCTTTCAACAATAGATCTTTGAATTTCTCCAGCTCCTGGTTGGTTCTTTGACATTTCTTCCGGAAATCCTCGAAGTCCTTCACAACCTGGATGAATTCAACTGAGGACAGGTAAAAACTTAATAATCCAAGCAACAAAAATTCAACTGCTCAAATAAACAGGTCTACAGTTAGCTTCATCCCAAATAGAAAGTCTACAGTCTAAACTACAGTCAAACAGGGCTGAAAATGACCAGGAACAAACCCTGTCTTGTCACTTTGGACGAGAGCTTAGTGGGAAGCAATTCCTGATTCAATAGGCTATACACTTTAGGCTTCACCAGGGCATCTGCTATGGAGTATGTAACTCATTAGTCACCTGGCTCCAGATGTCACCAATGCTGAAAGCTCCTGAACAGAAGGCAATCAAAGAGGGATACCTTTGGGGCAGCTGTCACACACCAGGACAGTCACATAAAACAAAAACCAGCCTCCTTTACAGTCATACATTGCTGAACCTGAGTTAAACAGCAAATTCAGGTATCACTGCTACAATATGCTCTAGTAGATATAGATAAATATTACGGATATCTAAGGCCTGTAATTCTATTCAGTGATAATTATACAAATATTGACCAGAAAGTAAAGAGCCGATTGCTTTTGCTGTTTAACAATGCCCTGAGGGGAAGTAAATACTCCAGTGTAAAAGCAGAAATGATCACACTAGCTCTTGGAAAGTCACTGGAAGCAGAACGGGGACTCTGTTCAAACGTGAGCAAAGATGACAGCCTCACTCCCAGGCAGCGTGGAGCTTGTGTCCATCCCTGGCTGGTGCTGTCGACTGCTCTACAACGTGCACAAGTGCCTTCAATTTCTGGGCTGACCTCAGCTGTCCCCAGGCATCGGTCTCCACCAACATCATGTGAGTCTATTTACTGCTGGTCAAACCCTGCTTACAGGTGAAACTAAGCCACACTCACCTAAAGCCAGCAGATTTTTAGTTAGAGAAGGCATTTTCCTATACAAATTTAAACGATATACAAAAATATACAACATGCAAGCAATTTTAATCTGACTAAACTTCCAATTTGGTATACCAATTCATTCAAAAGAAACCCAGTCAGCCGGGCAGTGGTGGTGCACATCTTTAATCCCAGCACTTGGGAGGCAGGGGCAAATGGATCTCTGTGAGTTTGAGGCCATCCTGGTCTATAGAGGGAGTTCTAGGACAGGGCTACACAGAGAAAATCCTGGGGGGCGGGGAGGGAGACTAAGTCATAAGGGAACTTATATCAGTAGCATAATAGGACAGTATGAAAGTTATCTTAGGCAAAGAAAATGTCAAGAATCAAATATTAGGACTAGAGAGATGTTTCAGCAGTTAAGAGCACTGGCTGCTCTTCCAGAGGACTCGGTTTCAATTCCCAGCACTCATACAGCAGCTCACAACCGTCTATAGCTCCAGTTGCAGGGGATCCAACACCCTCACAAAGACATGCATACAGGCAAAATATCAATGCACTAAAATATTTAAAAAATAAAATAAATTAAAGCCAGGTATGGTAGTACACACCTTTAGTTCCAGTACTTGGGAACTAAAGGCAGAGGCAGACAGATCTCTGTAAGTTCAAGGCCAGCCTGGTCTATACAGTGAGTTCCAGGACAGCCAGAACTTAGGAGGCTGAGGCAGGAAGAACAGAACTTTAGGTAAACCTGTGACAGTCAGTGAACTGGAGGCCTGCTGGGGGATGGTCTGTATGTTAAATGTGTTGCTGATTGGTCAATAAATAAAACACTGATTGGCCAGTAGCCAGACAGGAAGTATAGGCAGGACTAACAGAGAGAAGCATTGAGAGAATAGGAAGGCGGAGGGAGACACTGCCAGCCTCCGCCATGACAAGCAGCATGTGAAGATGCCGGTAAGCCACGAGCCACATGGCAAGGTATAGACTTATAGAAATGGACTAATTTAAGCTATAAGAACAGTTAGCAAGAAGCCTGCCACGGCCATACAGTTTGTAAGCAGTATAAGTCTCTGTGTTTACTTGGTTGGGTCTGAGTGGCTGTGGGACTGGCGGATGACAGAGATTTGTCCTGACTGTGGGCCAGGCAGGAAAACTCTAGCTACAGAGGCCAGCTTGCCTGGGAGCAGTAAGAATAGAGATGTATGAGACAGCTTTGTGCTTGTGGTCAGGAATCTGAGGCAAGAGGATTGCCATGATTTCAATTGTCTGGGCTACAGTATGAGACCCACCCTCTTAAAAAAGTAAAACAAGAAAGCAACATGCTTGGAAATCCAGATTTCCCCAGTTCATGGAATAAATAAGAAACTGGTAATTAATATCAACGATTCTATGGAAAGAGCCCCTTGGTAAACAAGCAATCAAGCAAGCTGGCTGGGTAAATTTCACTTAAAAACATGATGAATGGGACTGGAGAGATAGCTCAGTAGTTAAGAACACTGGCTGCTCTTCCAGAGGACTCAGGTTCAAATCCCAGCAACCACATGGGCAGCTCACAACGGTCTGTAATTCCAGTTCCAGGGGATCTAGCACTCACACAGATATATATGCAAGCAAAGCACCAACACACATAAAATAAAAATAATTATTAAAAACAAAAACAAAAAACCACGATGGATGGTTTAGTGGTAAAGAAGGCCTGAGCTAGTTTCCAGCACCATGTCAGGCAGCTTACAACCACCAGTACCTGCCACTCCAGAGACGCCTATGCCCTCTTCTGGCCTCCACGGGTACCCACATACACAGGTTTGTTGTTTTGTTTTGTTTTTTTTAAGAGTAATATAGAGGGAAAGAGAGATGGCTCAGCAGTTAAGAGCACTGACTGATATTCCAGAGGACCCAGGTTCAATTCCCAGGCTGTGAGGTGTCTGATCACACCAGAATAAAAAAATTTTTAAAAAAAAGTAATATAGAATAAATATTAATGGTCCTTTGGAATGAGTGCTCAGTACACTTTGGCCAGCTGTAGCCATCACTGTCTTTTTAGGGAACCTGAAAGAACACCCACTTTCAGATTTCCACACAATCCAGCATTATAAAAACCAAATGCTGAAACTTGCCGGGTTCCCTTTTCATATCACGCACCCTCCCTCCCCACCCTCCACAGACCAGTGCAGAATGACTTACTGCTTTCATTTCCTTCATTGATAATCTCCAACCGACGCACAAGCTGCTCAAACAGAGTCCACAAATTCACCACTGTAGCATCCATCTTCTGCCAAGAAATCAAATATACATTAGGAAGCTACCTTCCCCCCCTTACAAAAGGTTCACTAACAGTCTAGTAAACCTATAAGTGACCAATACCTGGGCCCTCCTACATGCAGCCACCATTTCAAGAATCTTTTGTTTATTTGCTGGTTGGTTTTTGTTGTTTTTCAAGACAGGGTTTCTCTGTTTTAACAGCTCTAACTGTCCTGGAACTTGCTCTGTAGACAAGGCTGGCCTCAAACTCACAGAAAACCACCTGGCTCTGCCTCCCGAGTGCTGAGATTAAAGGCGTGCACCACAACCTCCCAGCTGCCATTTCAAGAATCTTGAACCAATTTTGTGATCCTAATCTAAAAAAAAAAGTTACTGTCTTTGTTTTGTTTCATTTTTTGACCCCTGCCCCCTGGTTGTTTCAAGAGATCCACCTGTGCTGGGATTAAAGGTATGCACCCACCACTGGCTGCCTATTTATTTTTTGAGATGGTCTTGAACTCACAATCTTCCTGTGTCAGCATTCTATTTTTTTTTTTAAAGATTTATTTGTTTATTATGTATACAATGTTCTGCCTGCCTGTATGTATGCCTGCAGGCCAGAAGAGGGCACCAGATCTCATTATAGATGGTTATGAGCCACCTTGTGGTTGCTGAGAATTGAACTCAGGACCTCTGGAAGAACAGCCGGTGCTCTTAACTGCTGAGCCATCTCTCCAGCCCCCTGTGTCAACATTCTAAATGCTGGGATTGCAAGCACGTGCCCGAGCTGCACTGAACTAGAAAACCGTTGGAAACCACTGACAACACACATCTTCCGTCTGTCTACTTCTAGGTCAGTCCTCATTCCTTACAATGATGCCGTGCTAACTGCCTTCAGTAGGAAGGAACATGTCTGTGGACTATAAACACTACCAACCACAAACAAAATGTGGTTCTTCAAATCTAATTGAACAACATTTTTTTGCTACTTTAATCTCTCAGACTTTGAAAACCTACAATGTACCTTGAAATGTTTATTTTTGGTCTCACTTTTAGCTAACATCCTGTCACAACTGTCTCTTAAAAGGCAGGACATGGTCAGCACATTTCCCACCAATGGCACAGGTGACATCACACAGTGATTAAGTAGGGAAACTGCCAGCTCAGCAGCACGAGAATTATTTCTGTAGTGTGGGTTCTCTGCTGGAATGCATGCAGGGACTGTGTCTAATAAATTCATACTAAGTACAGGTGAAGATTATGTTATACCACTCTGGCGTCCGAGAGACAATAGCCACCTTCACAACGACAAGGGCAAAGGAAAAACCATTTGCTAGTGGGTTCTGGATAGGTAATTTCAGGCTTTGTGTTTCCTCCCAAAGACCTGCTAATATCACATTAAAAACTTAGGCCACCTTCCAGGCAGCTTTGTTCCAAATAGACTTCAACAGGAATAGATTAGAAAATAAGTTCTTTGTTTAGTTGTCAGGAAAGACATTTCTAAATGTGACCAAAATTATTAAGGGAAGAAAATGTCAAATTTATTGACTTGAAAATGAAATGTTCTTAGAAACACATTAGAGGACTCTCACGCTCCTCTCACCCCTGATACTCTGTCCAGGTAGTTACTCTATGTAGCTAAATAAAAACTTCAGAACTCTATTTTAATAGAACTTTTAGTGATTTTGCAAATATTTGTAAGAGTGTACCATGCTACGACGGTAAGAAATGGAAAAAAGAAAAGAAGAAACAAACACAACCCCACAATAAAACAAAGGAATGCATAAGCATAAAAATATTTTCCATTAAACAGTACAGAAATATTCATTTGTAGTCATGAAATATCCGCTATAATAGCAATAAAATAAAAATTCTACCAGTCCCAAGCCTGTCTGCAGTGTAACCTGAACAGGGCTGGAACCATGCTCTTCAAACGGCAACGTATCTGGTTCCAAGCAACAAACCATGGCAAGCTGCTAAGCAACCAGACTAAGCGACTTATTACAAACATCTTCCTCCAAAGAAGAACAAAATAAGAGTGGCATTGCGGCCAGCAGGAAGGCATGTGGAAGTCACGGAGAGGTCCACACACAGGTGCTGCAGAACAGAAGCAGGAAGAAGACTCGGGATCGATTCAAATGATGATCTCCTCTGGCTCCCAGTAAAAACAGAGGCCACTAGTCAGCAGCTGTAACACAGGATATTGATCTCTCCTATCTCAGCATCGTGAGTATATCCTGCAGTTCGGAACATGAAAACTCCTGCAAAGGGGTTCAGGAGAGTAGATTCTTTAGCAACTATGATATTGAAAATGGGGGGAGGGAGGTTCTTGTTTTTGAGACCTGGCCTGGAACCCAGAGAGCTGCCTACCTCTGGAATTAAAGGTGTGAACCACCACACCAGGCAAAACCGCATTTTCAAGCAGGCGTGGTGCTCTGTGCTACAAGCTCAGCTCTAGAGATAAAGGCAGGATGGCCACAAGCTCCAGGCCAGGAGGCTACACGCCAAAGTCTTGTCTCAAAACACAACCAAAAATGTTGTCTTTAATGACAATAAGACCTGACCTGACCTAAGCCTCTCTATGATTTGTGCCCCACCAAAGTGTATGTTGAAGCTGAATCCCCTGTGCAGCAGGACTAGAATGCTAAGGGACTAGTGTGCCCCGCAAGAGGGCCTGAAGGAATTGGTGGGCCTACTGCTCTTCTGCCATAAGGTCACAAAAAGGCATCAAGGAAACAAAGGAAATCCTTACCAAGCAATCTGAGGGCACTTCCATCCTGGACTTTCTAAACTCTAAGAAAGGATGACTGTTTGGGGGTTAGAGAGATAACTCCATCATCCATCAAGCGCTCACTGCACAAGCATGCAGGCCTGAGTCTGGTCCCCAGCACCACGTACGAAGCCATGTAAGGCCAGCAAGGTGGCTCAGAGGACAAGGACCCTACTGCACAAGCTTAACAACCCCAGCTCAATCCTACACATACGATGAAGTTAAATACATGCATGCTATGGCACACGCGCAACCCCCCCCCACACACACACACACACACTCACACAGAATGTAAAAGAAAAAAATTCTGAGCTGAGCAGGTGCTGTGCATTTAGAATCTTAGCACTGGGGAAGCAACAGAAGGACCTCAGAGCTCACCCCCAGGTCTCAGTGAGACCCTGTCCCAAAACTAAAACACTGGGCCAGGCGTGATGGTGCATACCTTTCCTTCTGTCACTCAGTCCCAGCACTTGGGAGGCAGAGGCAGAGGCAGAGGCAGAGGCAGTCAGATCTCAGGGTTAAGGCCAGCCTGGGGTACATATAAGACCCTATCTCAAACAAACAAAGCAAAGCACCCACAGTGGACAGCTCCTGAAGAGCACACTAGAGGTACATCTGGTCCCTGTGTGCACGCACACAAAATAAATGTCTGTTCTTCATAAATTATACAGCTTACGGTACTTTGTTACAACAGCAGAAATAAAAAAAGAAACTTTATGTTTTCTCAAGTTTCTTTAGTTCATGATTACTCTGGGTTCAGTGTATACTCCAAGGAGTAAGGTTTAGAGCTGGTTGGCTGTGGGTTTTTTGGTGTACTGTTTTGAGGAGGGCTATTTGAGACTGCCCAGGCTGGCTTTGAACTCACAGCAATCCTACTTCAGCCTCCCAAGTGGTGATATTATAAGGTGGGAGCCACTCTGCCCAGCTGAAGAAAGAGGCAGTCTCTTGAAAACAAACCCAATTCCAAAAACACACTCTACAAGACACTGTAGCTGGTGTATGCAGTCTCAGGCTGGTCTCCTCCATGTGTACTAGGAGATAGTGGTTTAAAATCCCAATGCAACATGGGCAGTGGTGGCACATGCCTTTAATCCCAGCACTAAGAGGCAGAAGTAGGTGGATCTCTGTGAGTTTGAGGCCAGCCTGGGCTACAGGATGAGTTCTAGGACAGCCAGGGCTACACAGAGAAACCCTGTCTCTAAATAAATAAATAAATAAATAAATAAATATAAAGCTTATAAAAATATGAAGTGTATCACTGTGTTGTTTGGGGTTTGATAGTTGTTAATTAGATTCTGGGATAGTGATTCACAACTCCATTTATTTCCCCCTAAGTAGTCTAGACTGTCTCCACATGAGGCTCCACTAAATTCAGAAGCAAAGATTATTTTTTAAAATAGTGCTACATAATATTTAATATATGCCTTTGCTGTGAATTGAGTACTAAACTTGACATTCCACATCTGTCTTCATATGAATCTAATTAACTAAGCTGCCACTTTATAGACAACTTAGAAACAAGAAGTGACTAAATACTGGGTGCACATGAAAGGCAGGTGTGGAGTCAAAGTCTATCCTCTTTCCACCCTAACACACTAAATGTCATAAAGTATCGACCATATATGCTGCAGATTTTCTCAGACACCTGCAAATCACAACAGTCACACAGAGCAGAGACCTGTATACATGTATAAACAGACATCAGTGTGTGTATATGTGTGTGCACACATATGTCAGTCAGCATGTGCATGTGTGTAAACAGACGTCAGTCAGCATGTGTATATGTGTGTGCACACAGATGTCAGTCAGCATGTGTATATGTGTGTGCACACAGATGTCAGTCAGTATGTGTATATGTGTGTAAACACAGATGTCAGTCAGTATGTGTATATGTGTGTAAACACAGATGTCAGTCAGCATGTGTATGTGTGTAAACAGACGTCAGTCAGCATGTGCATGTGTGTAAACACAGATGTCAGTCAGTATGTGTATGTGTGTAAACAGATGTCAGTCAGCATGTGTATGTGTGTAAACAGATGTCAGTCAGCATGTGTATATGTGTGTGCACACAGACGTCAGTCAGCATGTGTATATGTGTGTAAACAGATGTCAGTCAGTATGTGTATATGTGTGTAAACACAGATGTCAGTCAGCATGTGTACATGTGTGTAAACACAGATGTCAGTCAGCATGTGTATATGTGTGTACACACAGATGTCAGTCAGCATGTGTATATGTGTGTGCACACAGATGTCAGCATGTGTATATGTGTGTGCACACAGATGTCAGTCAGCATGTGTACATGTGTGTAAACACAGATGTCAGTCAGCATGTGTATGTGTGTGTGCACACAGACGTCAGTCAGCATGTGTATATGTGTGTAAACACAGATGTCAGTCAGCATGTGTATATGTGTGTGCACACAGATGTCAGTCAGCATGTGTATATGTG